AGGTTCGATTTTTGTCGAAAAACGCTATGTTTCATCATATATATATATATATATATATATATATATATATATATACTAGCAGTCGAGCCCGGCGTTGCCTGGGGATGTAACAGTAAGAGATAGGTCAAGTATCAACCATCATAAAGACTGAAAAATAAAATTGACAAAGATTATTGTTTAATGTTGACGGACACGCATGTCTTAATTAGTTTGTTTTTGTTTTTTTTTGTTTTTTTGTTTTTTTTACGAATTAGTCAAACCCAAACTCAAACAAAAACATTGTTTTCAATCCTTATGAGTCTACTGATTGAACAGAATTTTATTATAAACAATTGTCTTGTAAATGGAATTTTTAAAGCATTCTGAATGTAAAAATAAAGAAAAAAGTGTGCAAGACAATAAGAAACACTACCTGCCAAAAAAAAGTGAAGTTTTGTTGAAATCGGTTGAAAAATGTAGGAAATCCGACCCCATATATAAACGAACACATACACACACAAACAACCTAGTTTTTTTATAAGTATAACTCGATATGAATTGTCCCCCTTTCATTCTCACGATGACTCTTAACCATGTATTCAAATTGATTTCGTGCAAAAACAATTGTGTTTTTTCCAATTTTTGGCGTTGTCAGAACAACCGCAAGGTAATTTTACATAGTCCTGTGAAGTTTTGTTGAAATCGGTTGTGTGACGTCCCTAAACACAGCCTTCGCTCGCTCCTCGCTGCTTCGTTCGGGTGTCGCCGCTCCAAACGTGGCGTCCGCCTGTCGCGTCAGTCGTGTTGTCTCGTCCTGTGACGACCAACTGGCTTGGTATCGGTCGCGCCACCCAAATGTGATGTTCTAACCTTTTTGTGACTCGGATGGGATTCTAGTTAGATTCGATATCAGCCTCGTCGTTCCCAATTCGCTTCCAATTTCTGGTTACCAAAGTAACTGCGTTGATCTCCCGTCTGCCTACCCACGTTGTGAATTGATCTTAGGCAGACGAAATCAATCAGTCGTCAGGGCCGTAATGCAAGTTGGGTCCAAGCGGGGGTGGTATCGCACAAATATGTATAAAAGAAATAAAATGATAACTCAAACGTTCAAGGTATCAAAAAAAAAGGATAACAATACTTTATGTCTAGTTGTTGGATACATAGGACTGCGTCTATCTCCCGACCCGTTCTATGGATTGTGACACGTTGTTTTCCGTTAGGCGAGTTTTAACACTTCAAATTGTCTGCTCTTTAAGAAATTGGTTCTTGGTGTGTCTTCAGGCGAAAGTCGAAAAACTTATTTTGGTGGTATGGATCTAAGTCGCTCTTCAAAACAAGTTGTTCTTGGATTGAAGATGAGTCCGGAAATTGCGCGAATCTTAATCAGCTGATGCGAGGCCTGCTTCAACTGAGCACTGGAGACTGACTCTGGGAAACCGGAGTCCGAACTTAACTCATTTCTGCTCGCTGCGACTTTGCTTATATGGACGCCGACCAAAACCGGGATGGGTTTGTCGGCGCCGGGGGGTTCCTCGATAATTCTAAATACCTATCCCATTCTTTTATTTTTGGTTAGGAATTTTCCACTTCTTTCCATTTTTTGGGAGTTTTCTCTTACTCCCACCTTCTCACCATACTTCAGAGGGGCGTGAACTGTCCTCCCCACTTCCTCATAGCAACCTCTCATACCCATCCTCTAAGTGGGCGGTGGCAGCTTCCTCCTTGCGTCACGTGATCACCACTCGGCCAATGATGTCCAGCCGGGCGTGTGCGATCCCGTGGGCTTTGTTTCAGGGAAAAAAATATCTTGCCCCCCCCATTATCTTTTTTCTTTTCCTTTTCTTTCTTTTTAATCGCAGTTCTCATTTTCTCTGGCCGCCAATAGAACAATGCGACCGGTGGTGGTCATAACCCTTGTTCTCATCTGGACTTCGTCAGTCAGATTATCGCTAATTATCAGAATGGGTGGTCTTCTCAACACAATACCGTCGTCCGTACCCTAAAAAAAAAACAGTTCCATGGTTCTAGTCATTCTTTGGTGCACCTTTCTGATAACATAGATTTGTTATCACAGCCAAAGATGTCTTTGTCAAAAAAAAACGGTCAGCCGTTACTTCGTGTGCGGCTCAGCAGACGACACAGTTAATTTTTCATATCTATCCAAAGCCCTGTATTTCACCTGTTCTTTGTCAATTATCAAAATAACATTTTCTATTGGAGTTTTTCTTGGCTAGTCGGTCTGTGGTTTGCTAATTAGATGTTTTCCGCATTGAGCTGCTCTTATCTATCCCCCGATAACACAAGTTCGCCGACAGAACACAGTCGATTCCCCCATCCACCTAGAATTCTTCTGCCATTGTAATGACACCTTTTTCGCCATTTGCTATTTATGAAAATAACATTATCAATTGCCTCTGGTCGTGGGTGTTTTTTCTATCATCCACGATTGGGTCTCGCCTCTCTTTTCCTTTCTTTCCTTTCTCTTTTTCCTTTCTTTTTTTTTTTGCCTTGGTAAATGGTGCCACAGTTGAAATATGTAGGAAATCCGATCCAATATATAAACGTACAGACACATACACACAACCTTGGTTTTATAATAAGTATTATATATATATATATATATATATATATATATATATATCACACACACACATACACACACACATCGTTCGCCGATTGAGTATTATGGGGAAAGGTAATTTTTAACAGTGGCTACTCCTGCTTATAACGCATCGCTCTTCATATGAACTGAGCGCTCTGGTTGCTGATTTAGCGTTTATGTACATCACATATATAATACGTTAAAAGATTCACTTTCTCTGCCTTGCACAGATAGTTTATGAGTAGAGTCTCTAATTGATGCCAAATCGGTCGAGTTTCGATCCCGACTTGAAGCAGTCGAATGTCTAGTCACACTGATGAGCTGCGATAAAGAAACAGGCTTATATATTTAGTTGGATTGATGTGAGTTTGTGACCCTGGGTTTCACGCTTTTGTGATCGTCGGGTTTGTCTGACGATCACTAAAGCGTGAAACCCAGTGTCACAAACTCACATCAATCCAACCAAATATGTTAGCTCTATCTCTGAGATTGAGCGTTTTCTAATAAGTTCCGCGCATATAATATATAAATAATTATATCTATCTATCTATATATATATATATATATATATATATATATATATATATATATAAGTATGGGTAAATAGCAGGACAGACTGGCTTCTCTAGCCTTGGATGGCAACTAGTCTAGAAGGACAACTCTGAATTCAAAACCTGCGGAGGGTCGTTTGGGGACCTTGTGGCACGTAGTGCACCAGGTCTCTGTATTCGACCCTTCAAAAAGTGTGGATTGTCCTGCACGAACCCTTCACCACTATAACCAAATCTCATGTGCTGTTGTTTTTCTAGGAACTGATCTGCTTGACCCTCATACGTCGAATTCGAATATATTAGGGTACTCAATATTGTGGATGAAGCGTTTGTAAGTATGAACAATGTTGATTATATATATATATATATATATATTATCACAACACAAATAAGCTGTAGGAACTGTTCTATGTAAGATATAAAAAATATATGTGTGTGTTTGAAAGAATGGTGATAAAAGACAGGCTAAACAGATAACGAAGAAAAATAACGAGCGAATGATTGAAAGTTTGATAGCGATGGAATGGTGTAAAATTTACGACGCATTAATATTCTTTATAGAAAGCAAAAAGCAGAAGGAGAAAAAATAAGAGAGTGGAAGGAGTCGGAATATATGTGCATTCGCTATTCTTGTTTTTGCATGCGAAACTATGTTTGTTAAACATTTCGACAAAAATACCGGGCGCTCAACGAAGCTTGTAAGTAAAATATGTCGAGGATGAAAATATCCAGGCAAAGGGTAAGGGCGTGTGTGCGGTTGGAACAAGATCATGGCTGATTTTCAGTTATCAACAATATTCTCTGGGCCAGATTGATTATAAATGTTTCATCTCAGAAATTCGGTGAGGAAATTATTAATTTGTAAATATAGATTACGGGTGGACATAAGCGATAAAAAAAATGAATTGAAAACGAAATATTAATGCTATGAAAAGGGGCGTAAAGACGAGAAATGAACTAATAGCAATTATTCTGATTAAATGGGAAACACGCAAAACATAAAAAAAGAAAAGACACAAGAAAAAAAGAGGTGAGATAAAGGCCTCTTTTTTAAACAAACAATAATGACAGCGCGGGTAGGAAACGAGAGGCGGATAATGAAAAAACACAATATGGACTCTAAAAATAGCAATATGTATAAGAATGGAGTTATTAATTAAAGAATACGAATAACCATCACGAGATCATGTATGGAAAGTAATACGAGGAAGCATTGTTGGAATTCGTAAAAAGCTGATTATGGAAAGCAAGAAGCGTAATAAATAAAAGAAGATAAAGTTAATAATTTCTTACATACTGAAGAACAAGAATATTAAATAACAATTTGACGGATGTAGCGTAGAATGAAGCAAAAAGAAAAAGAAAAAAAATCAATTATATATTTATAGATAACCCCTGGATTACTGACTATGGAAGACCAGAAGGATAAGTATTGGGTGTCAGATAAAATTACTAAATTATTGGGCAAGGGATGATTGAACAGGAAAATAATGGACACTTATCAAGTGTAATCGAAAGAATGAAAGGAGGTTATTGAAAACATTAAACAGTTTTACAGGAATGGGAATGTTTGATTAGTGAGTATGGAAGGCGGGAAGCGTAAAAATGATAGATATCGCCCATAAATTGCATATTGCTTTGTATGAATGAATAAAAGTTAAATCGCATTCGACTATCGCGAGGAATATGCGGAAACTCAGCCAAACGAGTAAGTAAAATTCAAGAGGAGAATCGTAAATATTGCAAATAGAATATTGTCATTGTTTTCCTTTAAAAAAAGGCAGATCGTAAAATAGAAAAAACTGAAGGAAGAAATAGAAAAGACAAAAGGAAATGAAATTGAATAGAAAACAAGGTTGGGGGAATTATGAATGGGAACTGAGACAAAGAAATGAATAAAATAAGACAGAAGAAAAAGAAAGAAAGAAAGAAAGAAAGAAAGAAAGAAAGAAAGAAAGAAAGAACAGGTCATATAGAAGGAAATAAAAAACAAAAACGATTGTCAAAGGAAGGAAGGAAGGAAGAAAGGAAGGAAGAAAGAAAGAAAGAAAGAAAGGAAGGAAGGAAGGAAGAAAGAAAGAAAGAAAGAAAGAAAGAAAGAAAGAAAGAAAGAAAGAAAGAAAGGAAGGAAGGAAGGAAAAGAAAGAAAAAAGAACGGACTGGGTTAAAAGAAATGAATAAATAAGGAAAAAAGACTATGTTTAAGGGAAAAAGAAAGAAGTGACGTGAAAGAAAGAAGGTACGAGAAAAAGAAAAAAAGAATGAATGAATGAATGAACTTGGAATTAAAAATGAAAGAGAGAATTGGTCTTTTAGGGAAGAAATAATCAACAACGACTTTGTTTAAGAAAGAAAGAAAGAAAGAAAGAAAGAAAGAAAGAAAGAAAGAAGAATGGAATAAAGAAAGAAACAAACAAAGAAATAAAGAAAGAAAAAAATGAACTGTGTATGAAGAAAAAAAGCAAAGATCGCTTTGTTTAAGAAAAAAAAAGAAAAAAGAAAAAAGAAAGAAAAACGACTTTTTTAAGAAAGAAAGAAAGAAAGCAAAAAGTGACTTTGAAATAAAAAAGCAAGAAGTGAGCGTGAAGATAGAAAGACATTTAGTAAAACGACCTTTTTAAGAAAGAAAGAAAGAAAGAAAGAAAGAAAGAAAGAAATAAGAATGGAATGAAGAAAGAAAAAAGAAAGAAAGAAAGAAAGAAAGAAAAAAGAAAAAAGAAAGAAAGAAAGAAAGAAAAAATAATGAATTGTGTGTCAAGAAAGAAAAAAGCAAAGATTGCTTTGTTTAAGAAAGAAAGAAAAAAGAAAGAAAAAAGAAAAATGGAATGAAGATTGGGAAAAGAATGGAATAAAGATAGAAAGATAAAATATTGAACTGTGTGTGAAGAAAGACAAACGCAAAGATGGCTTTGTTTAAGAAAGAATGAAAAACAACTTTTTTTAAGAAAGAAAGAAAGCAAAAAGTGCCTTTGAAATAAAAAAGAAAGACGTGAGCGTGAAGAGAGAAAGAAATTAAGAAAAACGACTTTAAAAAAAAAAGAAAGAAAGGAAGAAAAATGAAGGAAATGAAAAGGGAAGAATTGGCTGGGTATTTAGATGGAACAATTGAAAGAGTAATGATATATGTACCTTCGAAAAGACCAACGAAATGGATCTGTTCGAATGTTAGGATGGTTAATGGGAAATATTTGGTAAAATAAACACTAGGTGCCTTTAGTCAGATCTGATATATGATTATTATATTCAGTCACAATGGGTAACGGGAGACAGCGTGTAACTTATCTAACGTGAATGTGTAAATGCATGAGAGAATATGGACTGAGATGTACAGAATGTTGATAACAAATGCTTAATGCTACAAAATATAGAACGTGTGGAGAACTATGATCGTCCATGACATAAAAAGGGCAACGTACTTACAAGAAGAAATAAGAATAGTTAATAAATTAGTACCTGTTATTTAAAAAAATAAGTTAATCTATAATTCTCTAAGATTTTCATCGGGAAGATTAAAACAGACATCGTCCAAAAAAAAAAAAAAAGAGTTATGAAAACAATACTGACAAAGATATTAATTCAAATAATTCAAAAAAAGAATTAACAGTACTTCTGTTGTGGCCTGTTTAGGAGCCAGAAAGAAAGACACTGAAGACGAAGGTAGGTTGAAGAAGTGGATTGAAATAACAGATATATATATAGAGCAAGAGTGTTAGTAATAAGCAGATAGAGGTGTACGTCCGACCGATAGGTTAACACTGCGTCTCGGCGATATTTAACAGTCCCCCCCACGAGGAATGTATGTGGCACAAGGCCGAGTTTACCGTGGGTTCTCCGAGCCCGTAGGCTCGGCCAAAAATATTCCCTTAGAACACACATAAGCGGGTTCAGGGTCTGTCTACCTCCCCGGTCGAAACTTTGCCCTTCGGCAAAACCTCGTCCGCGTTCCTCTCTGCCGAAGCAGACAGTTCGACAGAAATGAAGAATCTGGTCGGCTGTTAACACAAGGCCTTCTCTCCTACTAATTTTATAGTAGGCGGAAGAGTCCAACATAGACTCTTGACAGGGAGGACACCACAACAACAGCAAAATAAGATTTGGGAGAAATAACAAAAAGACAACAAAAAGAAATAACAAAAAGAGGTAAGAAGGAGTGGAATTTGTGGAGAGCTCTGACAGCCTAAGTCCTGAAAGGACACGAGACATAAAGTAGATACAAATTTTATTAATTAACCCATAGCTGGAGGAGGAAGAGTTGTATTCAAATGTTTCTCAACGGGATTTGCACGTAAGTGAATATATACGAACCCAACGGGAATTGGAACTCGGCTCTCCAATTAACAATTCCCAATTAATAACCATTACACCACCCGGACATCCAAGCTTGCAGTACCTTGTATTCCCACATGGTCACCAATCTACGTACTGACCAGATTTGATGTTGCTTAACTTCGGTGATATTTCGGGAACCAGTGTTACAACGTGATGTGGCCGTGAACCTGTTTGTTCTTGGTGAAGACCATAATTTCGTAGAGGAACCGACCTGATCGAAATCCAATATAAATCTGTTCCTGTTTTTATTTTGGACATTTCCGCTTTCACACAGAACAAAGAGAATCAAAGACAGCGTTTGATTTGATAAATGCATCCGTATTTTATGCTGTAAAATTTATGGTGCCAATGGGATTCCATAGATGAGAGATGGACTCTCACATACACGCATTGATCTTCGTGTACGTTGAACTTTATTGTCAAAGAACAAACGGGAAGAACAAAAGTTAAGCCGGAAGTTACGCAGAAGCACAAAGAATGATTTGTTATTATTAGAGCTATCAACAAGAACGCCATCAACAGCCATGGCGTTATAATAAAGAGAACCATAATAATAATAATAATAATAATAATAATAACAATTATTATTATTATTATTATTATTATTAAAGAAAGAAAGAAAATAAAAAATATTTGCACACTGTTTGACATGGGCCTATCACGAAACAAACATCTCTGCGAAGGTTTTGGAAAAAAACTAAGCAAATACAATGGCCTGAATATAAAAAAAATTGGAAATAATGAGGCTTTTAAAAAATAAAACACTTCTTATTGTAGCTGGAGCTTTGGGTCTAATGAAAAAAGGAACTCAAGTCTGGTATCTCTTCTATAGTCACTTTCTCAGAGACCTGATGTGGCTTCCCTCTTTCTTTTCTACAAATACTTTCATAGGAACTGCTTTGACGAGCTACATTCGCTGGTACCCCACTTGAATGAATTCAAGCGTGCTACTAGGTTGGCCTCTCAGTCCCACCGTGTCACTGTCGAAACAGTTACATGTAACCGCCTTTTCTACTCTAACAGTTTCTTCTCTCGCACTTCTCAATAGTGGAACTTCCTTACTCCTATTTGCTTCCCTTATAGCTATAATATTCAAATATTCAAATGTAATATCAATCGACATCTTCTGATGCCATGACCTTGTTCCCCGTCATTCGCTTTATCCTTTTACAAAACAACCCTCTTTACTCTTGCTCTCACTCTCTGTAACGCCTTGCTAGCTACTGGCATTCCCGCCTTGCTTGAGGTGAAATGCTTAAAGAAAAAGTACAAATCAACAAAATCCCAGGAGCACCATGTTTTCAGGAAATCCGAGAAAGATTTATAACAAGCACAGACCAGATCTTGCGAAGTGCTTTGCCCACTTCTGTAAAAGTCTTCTTTTGTTTAATTTGAAAATATCATCCTTTGCTTGTGTCACATCATTTGATTAAAAACAAATGGCGGTCTTCCCTAACCCCGAAATGTTATAAGACCAAAATAATAATCTAAAAGTTGAGCCCATGTTTTTAAAAATCTCATCAAATTGATACTTCCATATGAATGCAATGCATGCTACCAAACTCGTTGAGAAATAGCTAAACTTCTGCTGTATACAGTCGCCATTTCTGATCGATGGTTAAAGGGGATTAGGTTGTGTAAAGCTTGTAGCTCTGAGCTATGACCAACCTCCCTGTAACCTTGAACCGTGTAACAAACAAAGAAATATAACAAATAACAGAAACGAGCATTTGTCTATATTTCTGAGATGAGGTATTATGTACACTATTTACATTATTTTGGACTATTGTCCTCATCTTTGTTGCCATATTTATTACAACGTTTCGACCTTTCAGTATATGTCTATATTTCTGAGATGAGGTATTATGTACACTATTTACATTATTGTCCTCGTCTTTGTTGCCATATCTATCATAACGTTTCGGTCGTTGTTCTCTCCGGTCTTCTTCAGGTGGTTGGATTGTCGAACTGAACACTTTATATCGCTCGCTTGGGTAGACTGTTCTAGTTCCACGTACCATATCTAATGGATGTCAGTTATCAGTTATCTCCTGTTAATTCATCTCTTCTAGTTCTCCACTGCCTTAAACAGGTATTCAACTCACATCTTTTTGTGTCCTGTCACAGGATCTAACCACCGCCTTTATCCACTTAAGGACATATGGCTCCTGTTAAGGCGATAGGACCTGTAACAATTTTATAGGACTACACAATACACACAGGCTGAATAATTAAAGATAATCACACAGACTTCATTATTAGAGACTGCAAACAAAAAATTGCCTCCTTATTGATATGGCATTCCATGCAGACTGTAATGAATCTTTGAAGATCTTCAAAAAACTATCAAAATACAAAGACATTGAAATCGAAATCTCAAAAATGTGACATATGAAAACATCAACAATTCCATTTGTTGTTGGAGCCCACGAGTTAATTGGAAAAGATTCGAGTAGACTCAATGAAGTGATTCCCGGAAGCCCATGCTTTAAAGAAATACAGAAAATGCTCTCACGAGTACAGTCCAGATCTTACGAAGGGATTTATGTATGTAAAATGTGTGGATTTTTTGTTTGTTTCTTTTTTAAATTGCTCATTGGCAATTATCATAATGCCATTTATGACCTTAGGTCTCTTATCCAAGCTGGATATGCTCAATCGTCACTTTCTAGCCTTGACGTTGTTCAAAACCGTTTCTGTGTTCTTGCGGCTGGTGACATTTTTCGACTCTACAATCGCTTCTCTCACGAAAGAATATCGGAAGTAGCCGAGAAAAGCAACGTAATGATTGTACATTGTTATTATGGAAGGTCCGCCATGATAATGCTGCGAAAGAATTTTAGTTTTGTGTTTGATTTGTGTTGTAGTAAAGCAACGACTCAACTGATAGTAGCAGATAGAAAAAGCGAGGAGGGTAAACGACAAAATAATGTCACACGTCCAACCTTCTCAAGAGCAAAAAACCAAGTGCCCAGAAACAAAAACGCGCCTGCTTTATACAGCCGCAGACCGACCATACTTTGCATGCGAATGACGAGACAACGAGATTTCACGTTAACTGTCCGATATCGACTGGCATAAAACATGGGCGCCGCCATTTTGGTCCCTACCGTTGAGCAGCCGGAGTTTGCACGACGCACAGATTTATGGGCGTTTCCGAGGTAAGCCATTTTCACAATTTTCCGCACAATTTTTCTACAATCGCTTCTCTCACGAAAGAATATCGGAACTAGCCTAGAAAAGCAACGTAACGATTGTACATTGTTATTATGAAAGGTCCTCCATGATAATGTTGCGAAAGAATTTTAGTCTTGTGTTTGATTTGTTAAAAAGACACATATCACTTTAAAATTCGTGATCGATTAAAAAAGTCTAGTTTTAAAAAAAAATAATGGCGACGGTTCTGTGTTAAAAATGTTGAACCAATGTAAAAAATTTCGAAAGATATAAATGAGTTTAGAGTTTTTATAAAAGATATGTTGAAGAAACTCATACAATATTTTGAGAAAAATTTCAGAAATATTTGATGGTACTCGGTAAAGACTTTTTAACACATCCACCGACCCCATGTTAGGTTCAGTTGAACTTCCTCAAGCGAAGGTTAATTATTTTGGATTCGTAAATGAACCTACGTCCTGTTTATCGCTAATTATCCCCTATTTTATCAAAAAGCAATATTAACACAATACAAACCTTTTTACGGTTAATAACAAATTATAGTTAATCAGGTTTGATTATTGCAGATATCAGATGGAATACAAGATATTGATAAAGTAGCAACGATTATCCTTGCGATAGATAGATGAACTGTTTGCCTGTTGCCTTCCACACAGTGTTTTTATTGAAATAGGAACTATAGTTAACGGGCCATTGACTCATCGAGATTTTGTCTGCCCTCAGAAATGCTAACATCCCTGCTTCTCGTTCTCGCAGTAGACGATGTGGACAGCCTGTTTAGTCATCGATCATTCGACGAAGTTTAGGATAGAAAATACGACACAGAAATACGAACTCGCAGTAGATTAGCGAAAGATGCCTTCAAAAGCTAAGCGAAGAAGTAGGTAAGAGAAAAAATAGAAACAAAGAAATACGTGCTGGATTTCTATCAAGTGATGGTGTTGAATGTAGAATTGACTTTTCTACTTTCAACACCATCACTTGATAAGACACCAGTAGTGTTGAAACAAAATTTTATACCATATTTATGTTATCATTTTCGAATAAATAATTTTATATATATATATATATATATATATATATATATATATATATATATATATATATTAAAGAGAAGAGAGGTGTATGTTTTGTTTTTTTAAATATGATGCTTTATTTTCCATAAAATGGAAAATAAAGCATCATATTTAAAAAAAAAACTCCACATTACAAACCAAAAAACGTTTGCGGTTTCTCTCTCTTTTTAATATATACACTTTTCTCTCGTTGTAACAACTATAACCTCTTCCTTTATATATATATATATATATATATATATATATATATAATATTTTATATATACACGCACAAAAAAGTTTTATTAAATTCGACTAACAAGGTCTGCCCTTTCAACATTTTATTATATCTTTTCAATTTCCAAATGAGATGGTTCTGTTCATTGGCATTGTATTTATAAATAAAATATAAAAAGATACAAATCACGGTATAAGCGGTGATAAAAGGTTCTTGACCCTTCAACTGCCTTTGCAACAAGTACCTTTTATCATAATTTATATATATATATATATATATATATATATATATATAGATAGATAGATAGATAGATAGGTGTGTATGTGCGGGTGTATGGTTAAACAAGACTGATAAGTTACTTGTATGCAAACAAATGTTACCTTTCCTGGACGTAATGAGTGTAACAAAAAAGAAATAAACATATTAACAAGCAAAATGACCAGAAGGATTATCTAAACTTAGGGCCAAACTGCAATGTGGAACTGAAATTTGAATCACTCATAAAAAAATAAAACTGTGATCATAAACTTGTCACTATCCCAAACTGAAGCCGAAAAAAACTAATAAACATTGATCCCAATTTAAAATCTATTCAGAGCTCCATACGGAGATATTTAAACTAGTACTGAATTGTGCAAACATCGATACGCAGCATGCTTTCTTGAGTGCCGTCAAGCATGATAAGCAACAGCAGTCATAAGTAGTTAGAATAGGATTAAGGCTCCAAGGGAATTGTTCTACGGGCCAATAACCTTGTGGATAAAAGCGTTGGTTCAGGCATTTGATGACATAGCAATTCTGAGTTCAATCCCTGACTTGAGCACTAATTACTAAAAATTAAAACTAGACGAGATATCCCTAGACATGAGCAGTGGAAGTAGAACGAGATTAATTAAATGGTTCAGTTCATAGTTCCCTGTAGTTTAGCCGGATCAATATACACCTGATGAAGACCGAAAAAATACAACGGCCGAAACACTTTGATAATAACAAAGAAGACGAGGAAAATAGCCCAAATGCAAATACTTGTCGAAAAAATACATCTGTGATACGCACCACCAATTGTAAAAAAGGTTTACAAATAATATTATAAAAGTAGAAACTGAAAAAAAATTTTTAAATTTTTTAATAATATCAGTTGCGAACACTGTCACAATGTACTGGCCGTATTTGGAAACTGAAATATGTCTCTGTCTATATTTCTAAGAAGAGGTGTTGTAATTATTTACACCATTTACAATGTCCTATTTTTGTTGTCATATTCATGAAGTTTCGATTGCTGTAGGATATGGCCTTCTTCAGGTGATTGAAATTTCCTCAAGGAGACAAAAGCATTGGTTGAATTACTCTATTGATTTGACTCAGAGTCCTAAGTTCAATACTTGGCCACAGAAGAGGTGAAAAAAAAACTTAGATAGCTGAGTTAAAGTGAAATAGTGGAAAATGATATATGCGGAAGATGAATGGCACATGGAACTAGAAGCATCTACCCCGGTGGACGAAATAAAGGGTTCGATTCGAAATTCCACTAGCCTGAAGAAGGCCGGTACGTATAATGGCCGAAACGTCGTGAATATAACAACAAAGATGAGGAAAACAGTCAGAATATTGTAAATAAATTAAAGAAATATGTCTACTTTCCGCTATTTTTAGACTGCCTACAATACAACTTAGTCATCATTTGTTGTTGTAGTAATGCCTAAAATCGTTGCAAATGGCTAAAAGCGCTTGGAATTAACCAATATGTGGAGAATATTCCCATAGAAGATAAATATAATAAAATAAATTTAGAAATGTATTTTGTCAGTCTTGTTTAACAAAACATGTATTAAACAAGGATTGTTTCCACACACACACACACACACACACACACACACACACACACATATATATATATATATATATATATATATATATATATATATATATATATATATATATATATATGTGTATGTTTCTGTGTTCCTGGTGGGCGTGGTTAGGAGCTACAACTTTCGCGATAGTAAATTCAGAATCATGTGGCGTCTGTCTTGAGGATAAACGCGAGGGTAACAAGAAATAATAGTCCTGACAAACGAAAAAGCTATTTTGCCGCTTGTCTGCCTCGGCGAGGATGTGATTGGCAGCAAATATTCCTCAGTCGAAGACTTTGAGAGAAAAAAAAGGTCAAACGTCTACCGAATGAACTACCAAATGCCTGCCTCCGATCCGCGGTATTCCTTGAGTAGTCGTTCGGTCATCTGTCCAGGTATCGTTTCTTCGAAGTTGAAGGAGTTGCGACCGGGTATGGGGCGGACTAAAGGTTTTGGTTTCTGCCTTAGATTGTATAGGAAAAGTGCATATAAAAAGATGACAGGAAAAAGAGAGAGGAAAAAGGCGGGAAAGTGGAAGAGAGATAGTCGGTGTCAGCCATTGCTTTGACTTCCCTGGTCAAGTAAACTACGTTCTGCCGTAAGTGTATAAATAAGCATAAGTTTTCTATATCTCGTTTGTGTGAGATATACATGAAGAGAATTTATATGAATTCCCTTATATATATATATATATATATATATATATATATATATATATATGGTATATTATGCAGTAACTATTCATCCCCAAAAGTTTACAAGTTTCGTCTATTCAAAATTTCCGAATAAAAACTTGTATATCATGAACGAAATTGTTTATAAGCTGTCCTCAGGTTCCTGTCTGTTCTGTTGTTTTTGTTCAAATATTTTCGACTTTCTCGGTCATTATCAAGAGCCGTGTGTTGTCAACGTGTTAAACAAGAGGCTACATCCTCGGATTTTATAGAGAGGTAAACGTTTGAAAAAAGATAATTAAAGAAAAACGCAAAATAATTAGCTTCGTTTCTAGTGCAGGGCTCTTTAAGAAAAACGTACGTCCTCAGCTCCTTTAAGCGTTACGCATGATTTCTCCCGCTTTAAGCGTTTCGCATGACTTCAGCCTCTTTGAGTTACGCATGTCCTTAGGCCATTTAAGCGTTACGTGTGATCTCACGCGCTTTAAGCGTTACATATGGCCTCAGACCTTTTAAACGTTACGCATAATCTCATGCCCTTTAAGCGTTACGCATTATCCCACGCCTTTTAAGCGTTACGCATAGCCTGACGCCCTTAAAGCGTTACGAGTGAGCTCACTAAAACAGCCGGAAGCAAGTTAATCCACTAAGACTTCCAGGAGGAGTAGACACATGTCCGAAGCGAGAAATAGAGATACGTCAAGTGCTGGAAGTGATAGCAGCTTTATCTAAAAGCTACCAGATCCCTAAACTAACTTACGAAGTAGGTGAGAACTCGTAAATAGATAGGAACACTTGCGAGAAAACTTAACGGATAGAACAACACAGATCTTAGTAGAAAGTCGAAGTTTCCTACATGTAATGGCGAAATACCTAACGTAAACAACTCTTGTCCAAACACATAGATGCAAAGGAACTATTCAAATTTCAAACTCGCGTATACCTCTCTCAAAGCATGAGAATAGAGAAATTTACGACGCTACTTTGAAACCCCTATGCAGCCGATAAATATTCACCCCAAGAAAGGCGATAATGCCAGTAAGACGCAAGGAGGTTACTGGGAGTGAAAGAAAACGAGAAGTCTTTAGTGAGGCGAAAGAACAATAAAGGAACGTTTCACGAAACAGTAGATGGCGATTGGCGTTGCATTTCAAATTATGAAGATTATAGATGAGAAACAAGCAAGAAACCTGGAGACAGTTTCGCAGGTGAGATGTGCGAGAAAAGAAACTATTAGAATAGAATGTATAGTTACATCTAGCTAGTCCAATAGTAAAACCCTGAGATCTAGTAGTACTCTAAAATTCATGCGATTGAAGTACTGAGGAGTACAGATCATCAAAGCAATTATCATGAAATTATTTACAGAAAAGATAGAGAGAAGGCATGGCGGTGGGATGTGACTGAAGTGAGATGCCAGGTAAGGACGGGTTAGATTACAAACCCCTCTATGTATTTTGTCGAGAATCCCGGGATATATAACAAGAGCACAAGAGCAGATATTGTATTCAATACACTGAGGGATCGTGGATTTATAAATGTCCAAGGGTGATTTTGAAAAGAACAATGTTCTGGCAATTCAATATAATCTGGAAACTCAACGTGAACATGAGCCCAAGAAGGTGCAAATAGTTTCTCACTCGGTGGTTAGCATCAGCCATGAAGATAGAAGAAACAAATGGTTCCCTATGATGAGTAAATGATATTAGTTTCGTAATAGAGGCGTTAAAATTTACTAACCACTCTTTACTCCAGCTAACAACTGACTGGAGGTCATTTTCTAGAGTCGCTCAAGACATGAGTAAATAGATGTGCCGTCAGGATAAATACCTCGTAAATAGTTGTGCCGTCAGGATAAATACCTCGTAAATAGATGTGCCGTCAGGATAAATACCTCGTAAATAGTTATGTCGTCAGGATAAATACCTCGTAGATAGTTATGCCGTCAGGATAAATACCTCGTAAATAGTTATGCCGTCAGGATAAATACCTCGTAAATAGATGTGCCGTCAGGATAGATACCTTGTAAATAGTTATGCCGTCAGGATAAATACCTCGTAAATAGTTGTGCCGTCATGATAAATACCTTGTAAATAGATGTGCCGTCAGGATAAATACCTCGTAAATAGTTATGTCGTCAGGATAAATACCTCGTAAATAGTTATGCCGTCAGGATAAATACCTCGTAAATAGTTATGCCGTCAGGATAAATAACTCGTAAATAGATGTGCCGTCATGATAAATACCTTGTAAATAGATGTGCCGTCAGGATAAATACCTCGCAAATAGTTGTGAAGTCGGGACAAATACCTCGTAAATAGTTGTGCAGTCGGGATAAATACCTCGCAAATAGTTGTGCAGTCGGGATAAATACCTCGTAAATAGTTATGCCGTCGGGATAAATAACTCGTAAATAGTTGTGCAGTCGTGATAAATACCTCGTAAATAGATGTGCCGTCACGATAAATACCTCGTGGGAACTGATGATATCGTGAAGGCCGTTGATGATGATCTTATCAATATTTCTTTAAAATATATTCTTATTTTCTTTATCATTATTCCAAATTTTAGATCAATTATTTGAATCCGTTAATGTTCTTATTTGTGTTACAAGTGGCGGGTGTGGTCTTGCGATATTTCAACCCTGACTTTTGGGCTTCTTCGCATCTTCTAAACCCACAGTGGGTGGAGGATGTTTTTTTTTTCTGCTGCTTGTCGCCAAACCAGTGATCAGAAAACAAGTCCGTCCTCTATAGTGTTACCTTTGGATGACTGTAGATCGATCCAGCCATAATGTTACATTGTCGTAGTCATGGATTCTGACCCCCTGTGAAAAACACAGAAAAATAACCAGCGCATAGTTTTATATGAGGGTGTCCCTTCAAGACTCTGAAGTGAACCCACCTCTATAGCGATATTTAGAATTTAGAATTCAATATTCATTTATTAGTCATAGGAAATATTTTATGACGACTGTTTTTTTTTTAGATCTCGGTTCGTCTGTCGAGAATTCTTGTCTTAACTTTAAGCTTAAAAGCGAAATGACCTAAAGCGGTGAATATTTACATGAGAAGAACTTTACTGGTTTATATCTTGAAATAAGGATGAAACTTTGTAACAAACATAATTAAGATTCAGTCTCGATTAATCGAAACGTGTCTGTTTAAATTATCTTAATTGGCTTGCGTTTGTTATATGAATATTTTCATAATTAAAAAAAAATCGTAGGTATTTTTACGTTCAGCGGCGACGACCTCTACTCAAATTTCATTATCGTCTTCAGGCATTACGTACCAAATTAAATAATAGATGTTTTCTGCCATTAATGATTGCCTTAATTCTTGACGACAGACGGTTCCCTTCTTCCTGGTTCTCAGTGAATTTATATTGTGAAATATTATAGGAGATTTATTAAAATTCTATAGTAAAATTACCAATCCATTCACATTAGCTATATTATAATGATCCGATTTCTGTTCATGAGTGCGTTACTATAGCACTTAAAAAACAGCACATAGTAGCGAAACTTTTCTTAGCTCAATACCGTTAAAGCATTCTTACTTGAAGAATATAGCAATTTCTGTTTCAACTTTGTAATTAATAATGCGCTTGCTCTAAATATAACTGCCTGCATCGAGGAGAAACATTTTCTCAAGTAAAATAACTTATACTCCACCTACTGTGTAAATATTTGAATATTATTTAAGCAAATATATAGCCTTTTTAAGATATTTCAGTATATATTTTGGTTTGTAGTCTGGTAAACGTTAAATTGCAACAACATGAAACAATGGCTCAGCGGTATTAGGTATTCCGATGACAGTTCTGAACTCTCCCACATTCTCTCATGCATGTCCACTGGTATAGGCGTACTGAGTTTGTGCATTAGACGATAAGGCCTGCAGCGATAAAGTTCTGTCGTTGTCAATGGGTTCATTGCCGAATGGGTTCATTGCCCAATGGGTGTAATCTCATGGAGATTCTCAGGTGCACTTTTTGTATTCCATTTAAATGGGGCCAAATACTGGGTCGTTGGCCCCCTGGTTGGTCATTTCAATGAATTGTGATATTTATTGTTTTTCTCAAGAGAGATAATTTCCGGTATATTAAATTGTATTTATTGAATAGTTTCCCTTATATATTGACAAATAATTATCAGTATTATTGTATTCAAATATTAATAGTTCACAATATTTATCAGAGATGGATTCGGAGTTTTACAATGTTTCACTCTACAGGACACAGATAAGGATTCATATCTCTGTCCTAAAGAGCGAAGCATTGCGAAACTTTGAGTCGATCTTCCGTAAGTATCGTGAATCTTCAATATTTTCAATATAGAAATTATTGCTCCATCTTAAGATACTTTAAATTACATAATTTTACCTGCGATATTTAAAGGTTTTATTATTTTCATCTAATTTCTTTCAATATTAAGCGACTTGGCATCGAGTTTAATGATCGCCTATGGCGGCTTTTATTTACTGCTAATAGCTTTATTCTGTCAGTGACTTCTGAATTAATATATGTCCTATGGAAATAGTTACAATAACACGTCAAAAACAGCATATCGTAGTGAAACATTTCTTAGCTCAATACCGTTAAAATATTTTTACTTAGAGAATATAACAATTTAAACTCCATCTTGCTTTAAATAAACCTGTCAGCGTCTAAGGGAAACATTTTGTCAAATAAAATAACTTATACTCTGCTTACTATATATTTAAATAGAAATATATATCCCTGTAAGTTATTTCAGTATATACAGCTGGGTTGAATGAGTCTGTTGCAAGTATAAGTATCTCGACTTCAGTCACTTTCTTTATCGAAATGACGTGTCTTCCTGCTGTTTTTTCATAGCAACTATCCTTACGAGATTTTCCCCT